GTTCCTCCAGCATGTGAGTGATCCAGCATTAATCAAGTAGCTCAAGGTTGACTGAACTCAGTCAGTAGGGCTGATAAGTGGGGTGCTGATAGTATGTGGGTTATTACTCAACTCTCCTTTGGATGAAAAAGAAATTGAAAGAAGAAAAACAGATTCCACTTGGGCTCTTTGATCTTAGAGCAAAGGGAAGACTCATTCACTTAGAAAGTCAGTTAAATGCCACTCTCTCCTGTTCTCCTGCTGGGAACTTGAGCTGTTTTTGAAGGTAACAGCATGGGCCAGAAGTGGGTCTGGTAGAAGCATCATGGATGTTGAGAAAGTGTCCTCAGAGCAGTTCCTGCAAAACACCTATACTTATATCCCTTAAGAGAAACTATTAATATGGGTTTTCTGAGAGGAGGGACGAGACTGAAATATTACAATTTACGGACTGGTTACTGTGCTGCTAGGTTCCCATTATTTATGAGTTGTTCCTGCCAGTACCCTGCAAGAGATCACTGTTGGAGAACCTTGCTAATGCACATGCCCCAGACACACACATGGACACGCTCAGGAGCTGTCCTCTCCTTGCTAATCAGCATACACTGAGCTTGTGGTCCTGCATTCCTTGTGGATTCAGCTTCCCGGAGAGAGGCAGACCTCAGCAAAATGGGCAAGAGAGGTTAAATTTTGGTTCTCTGATTTGTGATTTCATATAATACAAGAATAAAGACGCTTCAATGAACAACAAAATAAACTTGAAAGGGAATAATTTCAAAAATGTGGTAATTAACCAGAGGAACTAATTTCCACAGGACAGTGTGGAGGCCACCTAAAAATGAATAAGCTAAATCTTTTAAGGACAATGAGAATTATCTGCCAGAATATATAATTTTTATTTGGGATAAAAAGGTAAAGCCATAAATTATTATGTATGTCTTTAGGTTACAGGCAAATACATATTTTGTTTGTATTTATATGTATTTTATATGTAGAAATAGTTAATGAGAATTACATAATAAAACTCCCTTAGGCTTACTGCTTTGTAATAATGCAACACAGGTCTTTCATCTTCATTCAAATAATCTCTAACTTGCTACATGGCAAAGACGCAGTACTGCGTGAGACGGACCATAAGAGAGATCTGCTCTGGCCAGTCCTACATTTCCAATTCATTTCACCAGCCTCAGCACTAGTAAGAAAAGGCACTTCTCATTCACTCTAAGGCTTCCTTTACTGCACTTTTGCCTTGCAGAGAGGCCTTGACTTGTAAGCTTGAATTTATGTTCTATTTAATGCCCTTTTCCATTACCAAAGCAAAATAAAGAGAGCTTTAGGGTAAGCAAGAATCAAGCTTAAGGAATGCAGGATATTGCATGCTTCAACAAAAGGATGTGTGCTACAGTCTGCATTTTCTCCTCTGTATCATTTCATCAGGTGTTTTTAAGGAAGCCTTTCAAGAATACTGAGATAGATTTCCTCAAACATTGGCAGCAGCAGTTTCCAGATCACTGTGACTGCTGTTCTTTTTGCAAAGGCATATTGTAGCAATATATGAAGCTTGAATATATCTGTAATATTCAGATATTATAGTTGTTTCCAAGTAGCAAATAAGTATTTCAAAGATGGGAGGAAGAATTGCCAAAGAGAATCTAACATTTTAAAAGATAAAGGGGACTATGTTTGAGCTTCTAAATTCAGAGTAACCTGACAAGCACTTTCAGCTACATTTGCAGTAATGCTTCAAGTTGCTCCATGTTTTACAACATCAAGTCTGAAGTCCAACAAAATCAGTTTATATTACAGTCATTTGTGAAGACCTAAACCTAAATTCTTTGACAAGTGTTTTAGAATTTAATCTAGTATGCCTTAGCTTTACTTTAAGAACTATGTTTTTTTTTTTATTTTTAATTGGCATCATTCATTCATGCATTCATGCATTCATTCATTCATTCATTCATTCACAGCTTATCTTTTTTTCACACTTAATTTATTAGACCTAATAAAAATTTTAATTTCAAAGATAATGCTTTGATTTAGGGAAGGATGAAAACTGAAGGATTAAAATTTGGACAGTATTTGGATTTTGGTGGATGTAGACCCTGATTTTTATTTCCTGTTTACTGTCATATCTCTTCTGGTATCAGAAGTATATTCCAGAATATGCTACATCTCCACCACGTTTACAATGGCAAATTAAACAGCTTTTCCCCAGACCTCAGATGACAAATGAGCAGCTACATATTTGTAAGCTGGGTAAAATTCTTCACTAGTTCCTCATATGGGAGAATATTCTTCGATACTAAAGATCTCAGAAAAAAACCCCTTATTTCCCTAGAGAAAAACCTTCCATCCTTTTGTCTAGGTTCACCTTCCTCATTTTCTTCTGCACCCTAGTCTCCAGAACCTTTATTTTCTGTATAGACTTAGTGTGTCTAAATGGCAGGTATCAGTTCTCCTCTCTGTGTTTTGGGTTTTGTCTTTTCAAGTCTTGATTTACATGCCAGCATTGATTTTACCAGTGCGGTTATTAGAACAATATTTGTCAACTAACTTGAGCTCTTTCTTCAGCCCCTTGAACTACCCAAACAAGTTGGTAACAAAGATGTTACCATATAAAAGACTCAATTGCTCTGGCACTCACCTCAAAGTCTCTCTATTCTGCATATTGCAGCCAAGAATCTGGGCATCAGCATTTAGGATGTGCTGAACAATACCTTGCAGGGTACAGAAAGATTCTTAGACTGAACCACCTGTCAGGTTTTTTTACCCCAAACAAATGGTGATGAACAGGCATAGAACATATGAAGTTACCTGTACTGAATCACGGATGCGATAGAGAAGCCGCAGGTGTAAAGAACATGCAAAATTGTATATGGAGATCTACCAAGTCAATACTCAGAAAGTTGTCCAGCATAAAAGAATGTCTCGTGAAATGCTCAGTGTTCACAAGCAGAAAGTTTTGTAAACTTAAGTAAGCTTAATTTAAATATAGACACAAGTAAAAGCTAAACTAGCAATTTTTCTTTTTTTTCTTTTTGCATATTTTTTGTTAGGTGCTTCTTCTCTGCCTAAAATATGAAGTCCAGAGTGCAGTTGGTGTAAGTCCTCACATGGATTTCAAGCAAGACAGTGTCAAACACTGATCCAACTGAACTAAGGACCCATGTACTTTGGGAGTTGGCTTTGGGGGAAAAAATTCTTGCACAGATACACAGAAGACAACTAGGGAGAACACCAGTCCAAACACCATAAAACAAAATACAAAACACCAACATATATATGCAGATCAGGAATCAATCTTTCACACCGATCCTACATTCCTTTCATAGCTTTTGCCTATGCAGAGAATGTGGGATGTGGCCCTTCAGTCAGACTTTTTGCAAATGAAGGGAAGATTACTTGCAATGGTAACGTTTTAAGTTGTTTTGGCATCAGCACAAATTATTGGGGGCAGGATCATATACCCACACAAATATGGAAGCTCTCTAGCGAGCAAGGCAGGGATGAGAGAACAATACAGCAGATTAATTCTTGTCCAGTGACCAAAAAGAAGGGAAATCCTAGTTATTACGTATTTCCAAAACTTTCATTACTTTTCCAAAGAAGAAAGACTACAGTTTATATCATCCCCAAAACCAAGGGAACATTGCTAGAAAAATCTCTTTCTCAAAAGGAAATGTCCTTCAGCAGAAATAAATTCTGAGATGGAACCAAAAAAGAAACAACAGAAGCTTGGTAAGAGTCAAAAAAGAGAACCATGTAATTAAAAAAAAAAACAAACCAAAGTAGCAGTTCAAATGATACTGCAGGATGCACAAACACTAGTAGATAATCTCACAGATGACTTCACAGAGCCCCTCATCGACCCAGGTAATTCTTGATTCCATTAGAAAACAGAGAGAGTAATACTAGAAAAAAAAAATAAGAAAACATCCTTCCTCTTTTTTAAAATAAAAATCAAGATCATCTCCCCTCCCCCCCTCTATCTGGAAGCAGGTTAGCTAACCTTAACAGTCTCAATTTAAAATAAAATATATATTTTTATATATATTCATATATATAATAAAAGAGAAGATATTAGTGGCAGTGTATGCAAAACAAAAAAGAAAACAAAGAAAAATTACTTTTAACAATCTCACTTTTTTTGTTTTTTTACACAAATACTGTTGTAAATATATTAAAAAAATCAGCATTCTATCTGGTAAACGTCACTTTTGCCCCTCTATAAAATTTTGAATTAAAAAAGTCCCAACAACTCTTTTTTTTTTAATTATTATTCCCCTCCCCTCCCACCCTTTATTCCTCTTTCTTCCACAAGAATAAATCCTGATGCAACTTTTTTGTTTTGTTTTTTTTGCAAAGATTGTGGGAACTAACCCTTCTCTTGTACCTAGATCCATAGGTTGCAACCTCTGATATCTTTGATTTTCCTCTGTGTTTCTCTTTGCCTTCTGTGAAAGTCCCTCTTGATTGTGCTGAGGCCCTGTGCTCAGCGAAGACACTGAATAAATTACAAAGAAGCCACCGTTGCTCGTTGTCTGAATCTTCTTGGTTTCTGCTATAAGGTGGTGGTGGTGGTACGAGAAAAGCAGCGGGGAGGGTGCGCCAGACAGCGTGGGATGGAGCAGAATCCAGGTGAGGAACCTCTGATTCTTTTTCCTCACCCTGCGGGGACTCCACACTATCCAAGCCACACTGCCTCGCATTCCCCTCAGCCCTTTTTGTGTGTTTGTGGATGCGTGTGTGTGAGAAAGCAGACACGTGGTGGAAACCAGCAGGGCCTTGTTTCCTCTGGTTGCTGCTCAACCAGAAGCAAAATATTCCACAGTTCTAACTGGATACTGTGAAGTCCAAAAGCGGTCAGCAATGTGAATCATGTCCATTGAAACACTGCAAGCGGTGTACTTATAATGACAGTAGGCCTTGTAGATTTGTAATATATTTTGTTTTGTTTCTTTATTTGTAGTGCTCTTCACAAGTGAGAAAAAAGATTTTTTTTTTTATTATTTTTCTGTCTGTTTTTTTTTTTAATTTTTTTGTGATTTTTTTTTTTTTGTTGTTTGCTTTTTGTAGTAAAGAAGGGTTGTATTTAGAGGCCAGTAGCTAGAGATCCAACCAGTGGAGCTCATGAAGCACTACCTGGCCTTAAGGCCACCATCCGAGGGAGGCTGGGAAAATTATTATTCACCCAGCCTCCGGAAATGTAATGTACCAGCAGGCAAAAAACAGTTCTTCATGTAGTACAAAAACCAACAAAACAAAATGAACCCAAAAAAAAGGAGGAAAATAAAGGTAAAAATGAAACAAAAATAATTTCTTAAATTCTAGTGCCATAGCTTTTTTTGTTGTTTCTATTTTTGTTGTTCATAACAAAGAGAGAGAGAGAGATTCTACTTATCCGTCTGACACATGCATCCTCATGTGGTCGTTGAAATGCTCGATTTGGTCAAACTTAGCTGGACAGACAGAGCAGACGTACGTGGTCCCCTCCGTGCAGGCCACCACGCCGGCGGGGACAGCCCTCGCGCCGGTGCCGGTGGCTCCAGGCGTGCCGTTGGTGGCACTGTGCAGAGCCACATGCCTCTCCAGCAAGGTCTTGTGGGAGAACTTCTTCTTGCAGATGTAGCACTCGTAGGACTTCTCCCCGCGGTGGAGACGCATGTGCACATTAAGGGAGCTCTTCTGGGTGAAGCGCTTGTTGCAGATACTGCACTGGTAGGCCCTCACGCCAGTGTGTGTCACCATGTGTTTGATTAGGTAATCCTTTAAAGAGAAGGAGCGCCAACAGATGCTGCATTGGTGTGGTTTCTCACCTGCCCGTTACCAATGGGAGAGAGACACAGAGAGAAACAGACAAAAAAAAAAATCATAAAATTAAACCAGTTTGGTAAAACTCTTTGCAACAAACAAATGGTAAGTCTCATGGGGGTCTTTGGATAGGTGCTCTGGCTAATGAAGTTAGCTCTGGCTAAGTCTGTTCATCAATGTGTTTTGACACACAACATTTTTTGCAACCAGAGGTTTCAAAATGCTTTAGAAAGGGGGCTGTAGGAATTCCCTATCCACATGCAGTAAAAAGGAGTTCAGGTGATTTCTTCAAGTTCACATAGTAGGTATGCACTGACAAAGACAGGACTAGAGTTAAAAGGTCCTGGCAGCTACACCCAGTTTCAGCAGCACAGCTCTCCTGCTTGTGCTCCTGCCTTGCTCCTCATGCTCATTTCTAGACAGGTCTCAGCCATGCTACTTCACCTTTCAGAGCTTCCATTTCCTTAACAGCATGCAATAAAAAAAGGGACAAATAAGTGATTACCAGACAGCTGACCTGGGCCAGACTCATTTCGGTCAAATTGCTTTCAATTTCTCAGGCAAGGAGTGATAAAGATTGTCAGAGGAATCTAACACTTTATAAGAGGTTTACATTTGTTGCTCCCTTTTCTGGTCAAATGTCATAGCTGAAGCATGTATAAAGAGTAGCGGAAAAGGGAACCTCAGGACACAGAACTGCCTAGGCCAGCCAGCACCATGCTAACAGATAAACTCCCAGTGTAAGACACAGGAAACTTGAATGATTTGACTGCCAGTTAAATAAAACACCTTATGAGGTAAACTAGAGATATAAAACACTTATGTAATCTTCCACATTGCCTTGTGTGCCCAGGACTGTTGTAAAACTTACTACAGAAACTCACATAATTGAACTCTGATCATTTTCAGACAAACCAGTGAGTACAAGGATAAACTGGGAAAAATACTTAGCTAAGCACATATACTGTTTTTTTCAGACTTCTCTTAAATCCTCCTCATGCTCAGAGTTCTGAAAGATAAGGCACAGTCTCATGTTTCATGGTATCAAGCAATGGTTTCATGATATGCTGCTACACTGGTAATGTAGACAACAACCCTGAATGCCCCATCAAAACCTACTTTTTAATTTGCTTTCTGAATTACTTGTGGTATATTTCATGTGTGGAATTCATCACTCTCAAAGCTGTCAGGAATAGAGATGGCACCATAGCTCTGTAATAATCAAAATGATCCACTGTTTCACTGACTGAGAAAATAATTTTCCTGTGGTTATTCTGCAATTTCCCCTCTTTTTTTTTTTTTTCTCCACAGACATCCTGCTTCCCTTTTTTTACAGTCTGTTTGGCACTGTTTTAAATCCTGAAGAGTCAATCTTCAGGGACCAAGACATGCCTGTGGTAATATATAATTCACTTATTGTATAGAGAGATTACCATATGCTACTTATACTCAATTTTAAGAGGAGATAATTAAAATGGATTAGACGTGAAAGACCTACTTTTTTATCTCCCCAAGTCGCTGTTTCTTTCTATTTCATGGTTTGCATGTATGATGGTGACATCCATGAATGAAATCCACTTGCTGTTCTTCCCTGTACTTGTGAAGAGTGTCCCCACTTGGTGAAAGACACTTGCTCAAAGCACTGAGGCCTTACTTTTCCTGATGGCTTTGCCACACACAGTGCAGTGTTGTGTGTAGACAGGCCAATGTGCTTGACACGTGATGTGGAAAATGATAGTGTGTCAGTCAGAATAATGTCTGATTAACTTATGAGAGACTGACTGTGTTTACAGAGCTCATTTTTGCCCTGGGCAATATATGTCCCAGAGTTTGTAATAAGTTGGTCACCTCCACTCTAGACCCTGTTAAGATTGTAAGAACACCTTAATTTTTGCCTGATTATGTTTCTAAGATACACTGGGTTGTGGCTTTAAATCTCAGCTTCAAAGCCTTCCTGGGATTTCTACTCTCCAAAGAATTGCAAAACTTCAGCTTTTCTTTTTTTTATGTAAATTTTTTGTGCTTCCTAAGTGAGCACTGTAGATTCTTTATTCCCGTGATTCTTCATTTTCAAGTCAGAGAAAACTTTCCTCAGTGGATTAAATGTGCATGTTCTTCCTTTTGCTTCTTTATTTTGTATCTGGCTGTTATTAGACAGCAAAATGGGATGATTAGAATAATAGAATCATAGTATATCCTGAGTTGGAAGAGGGAAGAAGCAACATCAGTGCCTGGCCATGATCCCTGTTTCTAGCCCCTGTGCTCCTGGTGATGTAGGCTCTGTGGCTCTTTGAACCCTAATCATAATGGATACTTGGTGCTGACACTGAGGTCATGGAATCATAGAATCCTGAGTCAGAAGGGACTCCCAAGAATCATCAAAGTCTGTCTCCTGGTCTTGCACAGCACCACCCCAAGAATCACCTAACCCTAACCATGAGCCTGAGACCATTGTCCAAGAGCTTCTCAAACTCTGCCAGGTTTGGTGCTGTAACCAATTCCCTGGGGAACCTATTCCAGTGCCCAACAACCCCAGCCCACGGGTGAAGAACCTTTTCTCAATACCTAATCTACATCTACCCTGAGACATGTTCATGCCATTCTGTCGTGTCCTATCACCGGTCACCAGAGAGAAGAGGTCAGTTCCTGCCCCTGCACTTCCCTCATGAGGAAGCTGTAGGTTACTATGAGGTCTCCCCTCAATCTCCTCTAGGCTGAACAAGCTAAGTGACCTCAGCCACTCCTCAACTGACTTTTCCTCATCCCATCACCATCCTGTCACCAGATTAGAAAGGTGTGGAGGCAGCAGTGTTGGTGCTCTGCTTTGATCCCCTCAGCATGTGTTTTGCAGCTTTCAATCCAGTATTAATCACAGTGTGATATGTGGGAAAAGGCGTGTGATATATGCCTTATAAAGTGCAGACACTCCATACACTCCAGCACTGTATTTCCACAGTGAGATATATTAAAGGGAGTCTACATGGAACATGGAAAAATAGCAATCTCTAATACGTTTGCACCTGTGTGAAAGAAGAAAAGGGAAGTTGGTTTCTGTTGCATGGAAAGCTACATCAGACTGTAGTTTTTGGAAGCATAAAAACATACAGAGATATAGAGGCCTTGAAGTTACTGAATTCTAGTTTACGATTAGACTCTTCCATGACTTCTCTTATGAGCCCTCCACACAGAAAGATTAATCCAAACATTTGCATCTCCCAAATGTCTCAATTTTTCTGTGGATCTTTTCTAGAGCCACTTTGCCTGGCTCCTTTAAACAGGGATAAGGAAAAGTCACCCTGACAGTGGGAACAGCTGCCCCACCTTTTTTTTTGTAATGACCCTGTCCAACACTAGATAAGGTAGCAGAAATACTTTCTCTGAGGCTGCACAGATAAAGATTATTTTCAGGTGGGTTTTCTGAAGCCTAGCTCTCTGTTGCTTAAGGTGAAATTATTCTCCCAGGAGCCAGTTAGCTCCTAAATGAATTTTGAAATGATTTATCTACCCAAATCTTTCCTTGCTACCACAGTTCATTTTTTAGGGCATTCTCAGACCCACATAAATAAAATATTAATTCATGATTCAAGATTCCTATCAATTTTCTTGGTTGCTATTATTTGTAGTAGCTAAGAATGTTTTATACTAGGTCTTCCAGATCTATTCTTTATCTGACTCCAAAACTGAAGTGCAGTGGTGGGGGAAATAAAGTACCTAAGATCAGTGAAGTTATTTGTAAAAAAGTCTTTTTAGCTTTTAGAACAAGGATGCAAGCAGATATATTTGACTGTCTTCTGAAGGGGATACTTCTCTGAAGACCAACACTGTCTGTGTAGAATTTTAGCTACTTCTCCACAACAGAAAGATAGAGAACATAAGCAGACACAAAGGTAATCTTGTGATTCAGGACTCTTGTTCCTTGCAATTATACATTTTGTACCAGTACAGAGAAGTTGATCTTTTTGTTTATCTACATGTCTGCCATAGATGTTTATAGGAGTTTTTCGTTTAAGTGATAAATACAGGTAAATTGAAGTTAAAAAGTTTACATATACATTGCTCCCATACTTTGGGCAATTTTTCAAGGTTCTCCTCCCTGTATCACAAACTCAGCATTAATTTTAAGACTGGATGTTAACAAAGCCTCTGCTTGGTGAAAGAAGTATTTATTCTATCCCTAAACAAAAATTTCTCTCCAATAGCAGAAAGAGCCAAGGGCTAAAGCAAGCAAAACAGTCCTGAACCCATGACAACTCCTCAATATAAAATACATACATATTCTTGTTTTGAAGTCTCATAACTTGGCAATGCTAGAAAAGGCACTTCTGGCTCAGTGGCAAATATGGTTACCTATGTTATCTCAATAGACCATAAACCATGTATTAAAGCAGCTGCAGTTTTAAAAAGAAAGGTGCTGGTGCTGATGTTGTGTTCCATTGTGCTCCACATTCTTTAACTGTTTTTTCATTGAACTCTGTGTTTCTGTACTCACAGCTAGCGATACCTCTGACTTACTAAGAGACAAGGGATTACAGCAATCAGCTTCAGTGAAGTACAGAAAGACTTTCTGACAAAACTCCAGATTTACTTTCTTATAGTAGTGAGATCTAGAAAATGTGTGGCAGTGTGTGTAACATCCCAGCCTGGACCTACTGCTGGAGCTTCACCAGTAATGAATTTGCCTCACCACTAGAGCTTAACTCACCCACAGCTGTAAAACCTACAGGGGGATGCCCTTTCTTAGTAGATGCAGTTTTTCTTATGACCTATCAGTTTCCTCTCTTCCACTTAATGTTGCCCGGACAGCTTGCAGGGTACAATGAACGCTCACCATTTCCTTGGATGGATGCAAGACACATTTTACTCCAAGTGAAATGAGCTTGTTTCTGCACCATGCACAGTCAGGCCCCTATTTGGGATCTGTATTTTTCTGCAGAGACTCAACTTCAGTGCAGTAAGGCCAGGAAGTGTTCAGTGACACCAGCTCCCTGGATAAGCCCTCCCTCGTGTTTGTGCTGGGGGCTAGTAGGTTGGCAAACAGAATCTAAGCCCACGGTTGTGAAGGACTTTCTGTGGCTCCATATGCAAGCCAAAGGGAAGTTCTCTTACCTGTGTGTACAAACATGTGCTTGACGTAGTTCTGTTTGGCGGTGAAAGTCTTGTTACAGAGAGTGCACTCGTAAGGCTTTTTTTCGCCTTGCCCACCCGCCGTGCTGTGGCCCGCAGATGGGGCCAAGGGCTGTGGGGCTGGCAGCTGGGCAGTAAAGGTTGACAGGCCAGGCTGGGACACTGTCACAAACTGTGTCTGTTGGCCAGCTAAAGGCTGGGGCAGGCTGAAGAGAAAGGGCTTAGGGCCACTGCCAGCAGACTGCGTGGTGAAAAGGGCAGGCAGGTAGGTGTTGCCAGCTGTGCCAATGACCTGAGTGTTGCTGGTCAGAGTCAGTGGCATCCTCAGATTGCTGGTGAGGGTTTCCGTCTGGCGTAAGTAGATCTGTGTGGTTGGCAATGGTTGGGCAACAGATGTGTTGACAGAAGGCTGCAAAGCCCCCTTTTCGGTGCTGTTATTGACTGTGAGCACTTTGCTGTCCATTTCAACGTCATTGCTTCTCTCTGGTGAGGAAGAGTTGGCATCTACATGTTGCTGCTGCTGCTGCTGCGGCTGAGTGCCATCAGCAGGGACATCATTTTGATCTGTTTGAGAAGGTTCTTGCTGTCCATCCCGGCCCAGACCAGCCATAAACTGCTGCTCCATGGAATCAGGCTCAGTGCCAATGGAGGAACTGACACCTGAGTCAAAACTCTCCCCTTTGGGCTCACTCTCAGTGCCTTCTGCTTGGTCAGTGTCCTCAGTGCATTCCTCAGACTCATTGCGCTCAAGGATCTGCACCCTCTGTTGGCCGTAGTAGTCATAGTCATCCTCCATCTCCTGTTTAATATGGATGTTGCCCATCAGGGTTTGAATTCGGACAGGGCGGGGTTGCTTCCGGCAGTGTGTGGTCTCTGGAGTGGTGGAGAGGTACCGCTCCATCTGCTGCGACCGTTCATGGATCCTGGTAATCCAGCTGGGGTCTTCTATGTGATGGTCCCTGGGGAGCCCCAGGGCTGTCTCATGGTGGCTGACCACAGCTCCACTGTAAAAGGAGCGCTCCCCACTGCCATTTTGCATGGAACAGGCATAGAGGGCTGAATAGATCCTGTCCACACTGTGCTGTGAATGGCTCTGCAGGTAGCCAGACTCTGTGTCGGTGCTCTGCCCCGAGGTGCCTGATTCAGGTGTTCCCCTGGGTGTCTCTTGGCCAGAATCCTGAATCACTGGGTAGACATCTCCCACATTTTGTGAGACAATCCTTGTGCACTCATCAATCACAGTCTTGATCTGCAGGATGCTGGCGGCTGTGAGGATTTGGAGGGCCTCTGACTGTGAGACCCGCAGCACCCCGCTGTACATGAAGTCAATGAGCTTTTGCACAGACTGGACCGACACCACTGAGGGGATCTCGATGTCACTGTAGCCCAGCAGCAGCTTGTCCTGGAAGAAGGGGCTGCCAGCCGCCAGCACGCAGCGGTGGGCGCGCAGCATGCTCCCGTGGATGCGGACCGTCACGTCACAGAAGTGGCCACGGTTGCGCTGCTCGTTGAGGGTCTCGAGCACAGAATTGCTGAAGTTGTGAAGGTTGATGCTATGAATGCGCTCTGTCATCCCCTTGCAACTGATGTTACCTGGAGCAAAGCAGGTGACAAAAGCAAACAAAAAAAAGAACAGAATCAGTCTTGTCCTCTGCAGGGCCACAGCGAGAGCGATGGCAAAGGTAACTTCCCACTGTGTAAACAGAACTGGACAAAACACATGCAGAGGCATTGGTAAGAACACATCATTTTTGTAAGGCTACAAGTAAACTTCACTACACATTTCCAGAAGCTCAGGTCCTGAATTCTTGGACAAAACCAAATGAAGACAGGTGTAGCTGGACCTAAATTCCAATCATACTCCTGAGTCTTGAACTTCCTATCAGTTCATCTCGCTTTAAAAAGCTTAGAGCCAGCCAATTGTAAACACTGAGCACATGGATTAAAGCTGGATTTTAAGCTTTGGATTGGACTTATGCCAGAAGGGATCAGAATCTGTAATGACACTAAGTTGTTAATGCAAAGAGTATATATGAAAATATGATTTCAATCTAGATTGGTATTTTAAGGAATTTAGATCCTGTGTTTCACAGTACAGTTACTCATATCAAAAAAAAAACCTGGCAGTCACTTTGTAAAATCCAAATCTGGTTCAAGATTTAGGCTGTAAAATGTTCCTAAAATCCCACACAGAGTTTTGTCTGGGGTTGTGGTTTAGAACATTTGCTACCCAATAGTGACAAACAGTTCTCTGAAAGAACCCAAAGCAAAAAGTTAACATGAGCTATCCTCTTCATTTTTAGCATATCCCAAGTTCTGACTTGCACCAGAACGCCATCATATAAAAACAAATGTTCTCCTGCTGTTATTTACTTGACAGAAACTGGAAAATTACAGACATTTACTCGAAGAAAGATTTTTGTCTTAGTTTGGCTGAATAATCTAAATAGGGAACAGCTTAGAAAAGCATCTAACCAATTTGGATACAAAGCCAACATAGTCTTCAAAATTTACAAGTAACTGAAAAGAAATTTCTCAATCTCCCAAATCCACTGTTCCCTATCGTTATCTTGCTTGCTTTGCTTTCAAAGCTTTGGTTTCCCATTTCCTTTTTTGTTCTTTACCAAATTTTCATCTATTTAGATTTTGACAGGCAGAAACTATGGCTTCACCTTTTAATTATGAAGAATCAACTGCCCCTTGAATGGTAAACAAATGAAACACAATTAATAATTTTTTCTTTAAGCACTTTTAGTACATGCATCACCTTAATTTCTAGAAAATTAGATAAAGTAATGCTAAATCACCCCTAGTATTACAGGCATTTTGTCTTGAATATTCCCACTAAAGATCTAACCATTCTTGCCACAATAACTTGGTATTGTGTGAGCATCCAAAAATAGAAGTTGCTAAGTGTGAGTAAATTAAAATAGCTTATTGTCACTGTCTGACAAATGTACAGATCAAATAAATAGCACTGAAAGCAGCTGAAAGCCATACACATGCCTTTTAGCCCAGCAGCATCTCTCTGCTTCCACCCTAAGGAGTGCTTTACATCTCATCCACAGGCAGTAGAACACTACTCACTGCAATTTGCAGGCAAATGTGGCATCCTCCCTGCTCTGCATTCTTCTTCCCATTTATTCACTACCAACAAGCTGATGTTCTGGTGGTTCAGAGAGAAACCACCTTGGACACAAGTGGTTATTTTAATTCTCTGAAGTAGCTGATGATTAAAGGGAAGCACAAAGGTCAGGAAGTGAAAATCACAATGGGGCCAAGCTATCTGAAGAAGTCTCATGTTAACAGATGTAAACCAACCTGTACCAGAAGGTTACTAATTTCCATGTGTGATTAGCACACTGAGGGAATGCTCAGATAACAGAAACAAGGAGGAAATCACTAACACCATGATGGAGGTTGTGAAACACATCTGGCTTGTTCATCAGCTTAGCCAGGAAACCTGAGCTTCTTTCTCTGATGGGATTGACCATAGGACTAGAAAAACATTTTAGAAACTGGGAGACTTTCCTTCAAGGGCATTGCAACCATTACACAAAATAATGCACAGAAGAGATGTATTTCTTCCTCTTTCCTGATAGAATAATTCTCCAGAGGCCTCCAGGGCAGTTCCGGATGCTTCCCTGTCAAACATGTTAGATCATACAAGAATCCAAAATGTATTTACACACAAAGTCAGAATCCTTGGCAAAAGTTTCGTACTGGTGGGACAACAGAAGGGTGGAAAATTATTGATAAATAGGTGACACCTCTTCTCAAGACTTACTGTAGGCCATAGCAAGTGACTGTACAGCTACCCATTTATCTCCATCTATCTTTGTTAGTTTTTGTTAGTTTTTGCTCCTTTTTGCTCTTTTCTATTTTTGTTAGTTTTGCTCCTAGGACTCACTTTCATAGAAACACATCTTTATGTTCAGCTTTGTCAAATAAGGTATTTGATAATAAGAAGAAATGTGCAGCAGTCTAACCCAATAATCCAAAAATCCTACCTTGAACATGCAAAATGTAGAATATTCTACTTTGTTACTATGCTCCTTGGCAGATAAAATTAATTTTCTGAGCAGAACTCTGAAAAATGCATCCTTAGGACAGCTTCTTTCCAGAAAGCTGTGATATGCATCACAAGACTGGAACACTTCCTCGGAAAGTGAATGCTGCAACTTACCCAAAAATCATGTATAGATAGGAGGAAAGGCAAGGTTCATCAATAAGTTTCAACAGCCCTTCTCAGGTCCTGGCTGTGGGAATCAAGAGTTATATAGCCACAGTGTATTTGGTTCTTAACTAATGTAATGAAAACAGGCAGTTGAAGTTGATCCTGGCTACAAAGAAGTGGTTAGTATCCATATATAAGTGATTTGAATAGCTCTCCTGTAGGAACTGATACAGGATGCTCCTTGTGGTGTAGGAGCTGGTCTGAAAGCCAACAGAGTCACTTTTTGTTGCTATTAGAGTTTGCCGTTAAAAAGATCCTCTCACTGTTGGAACATCTACCACTTCAGCTGAGAAGCAACTGAAATTTACTCCTTGAGGATAAAAGAAGAGTGGTTGGAAGAGATACACAATAAATAGTAAAAAAAAAAAAAAAAAAGCTAATAGAGATTTTGAAGATGATTTTTCTAGGCCACCTTCCTTGACATTCAACACTGTAAACTATATCTATCCAAAGTCCAGTTGCCAAGTAAGTTGCCTAAGTGTCAGAAACACTACTACACAAGCCCCACCAGTATAAAGAGCAGTTTCAACAAATTCCAGAGACTGGTCTGTAGGAAAACCTGCTGTCCAACAGATCCTTTCCCTCTCTGCAGGAAACTGGGTCCAGATCTGTTTTGTGGTTGACCCCTACTTTTTGCTGTTCTAAGCTGAAAGCCCAAAGGTGATGTTGCCTACAAAACATGGACTTGCCAATGCAGTTTTGATTCTAAGTAAATGCCAGTTCTGACAAACACTCCTAGAGCCTTGGACAAGCCAGAACAGTGTGTCAACTCCTCACAAGGCCCAGCTGCACACACGCACACTCACCTACTCGTCAGTGCACAGAATGCCCAACTCAGGAAAAAGACTCCTGTCTAGGGCTCTTCTCAGGCCTGCCACTCTTTTAAACTCGAGACAGTGGGAAACTTTCTGTGAAATTCAAGTGGTCTTTGTTAAGTATTCCCCTTTTTTTTGTCCAGTAAACATGATGTAGAGATCCCAATGGACTTATTCTGAGAAACTCCTGTAAAATGGTTTTGTCCCCTTTCTGTGAAGCAAGTTCTGATTGGAGGGGTATTCACAAACCATATAGGAAAGAATGGGTGTGAAAATGCAAAGGCCATTCTTACCCAGATGGGCAATGAATAGGCATTTGCCAGTTTAAAAAAAAAAAAAAAAAGACAGAAAAAAAAGAAAGGAAAAAAGCCCAGACAACTGCACAGATTATGCACATTTGAAATCCTCCTGGGATACAATTTGAAGCTGGCATGGTATAAAGGTGAAACATATTACTGTGCAACTTTGAAAAAAGCTTCATTTGCCCTTATGCAAATGTACCGATTAAACTGTCAGGCTATTCACAGAAACATGCATGGAATTCATCCTCAGCTAGTAAGAAGGAGCACAACATGGATGGGAAAGGAAAAAACTTTTGTTGTGTAATACATGACTGAATGCTTAGATTAGTGTTTCCCTGAATCTCATCCACCCCTCCTGCTGACTTTTATGCTATGGGCATTCAAAAGAAAGTAGATTTTACCATGACAATAACAATGACAAGCTCTCCAAGTACAGTACCAAAAGGGAAGGCAATGGCAGAAGGAAACAGCAGGCAGTGGACTCCTGGAAGATGCTACAGAAATGTGGAAGTGCAGCAGTGAGGTACATCAAGCATGTATCGAGGCAGTTTTCTATTTGCCAGAGTTATTATACATAGACCTACATAAAGCTAGAAAGTTATGGCTCGAAATGGTGATTTTTTTGTTTGTCAAAACTGTAAAAATTACCCCCAGAGAACACATGATGTAGGAGAACCAAAATGACGTGCAGAATATTGAACACTGCAGGCCATACACAAATGGCTACAGTGTACACTCAAAAATGCGTTTTGCAAGATTTCTTTCTGTACAGCCACTAGATGTCCCTTTCTGCAAAGCCAATTGCTGAAAGTCTAAATGCTCATAACTGAAGGATATCAGAGAATTTGATTTTCTCTAGTGTCTTTTAAAATCACAGTATCTCAAAGCTCGTTGCACAGTAATGACTACCATTTCTAGAAACACAGTGGTGATGAACCCATCACAGTTACTGCAACTCAGCAGTAGCTCAGCACCTCAGCACAGCATTCACCTGAAGCAAAACTGCCTAGGATGCTGGAATCCAAGATTTTTTGGTAACTTACTGTGTGTTCTTTCACAGGAATGACTAGCAGAGTGAAACCCAAAGGCTGTGTCTTGCTTTCATACTTAATGGGAATAGAGAATTATTGTTCTATATCCTTGAGAACTGGTGGGCTTGCTGAGAGAGATACAGTATGAGTTTTTGCCTCAATCTTCTGCAGAAGAATTTAGAAAATTGTCTGGCAGAACATCTCACTG